GGTGGACCAAGGGATGAACCAAAGGATGGACCAAGGGGTGGACAAAGGGATGGACAAAGGGATGGACCAAGAGATGGACCAAGGGGTGGACCAAGGGATGAACCAAAGGATGGACCAAGGGGTGGACAAAGGGATAGACCAAAGGATGGACCAAGGGGTGGGACATTCCATGGACAAAGAGATGGACCAAGGGGTGGCCCAAGGGGTGGGACCCTCCCATCCCAATCCACCCCCATCCCAATCCACCCCCATCCCAAATCCCAATCCACCCCCACCTTCCCGATGCGCTTCCCCTCCACGGCCAGCGCCTTCATCTTGGAGAAGTAGTGGTAGAAGGACACGACGTAGGTGATGATGGACTTCTCATCGGGGTCCTCCATGTTCACGTCTGCTTGGGGGGGGGTGGGGGGAGGGGGGCAAAGGTCACCCCTTCCCAAAAATCCCGTCCCTCCGGCTCCCAATCATCAGGCACCCCTCCCCCCACCCACCCACCCTGGGTCCAGCAGGTCATCCCACCCCACCCCCACCCCCACCCCCAAAACTGGGGGAGATGGAGATGGATGGAGGGATGGACAGATGGACAGAGGGACACATGGATGGATGATGGACTGATGGACAGATGATGGACAGATGGACAGATGGACACATGGACGGATGATGGACTGATGGACAGATGGACACATGGATGGGCGGACAGATGGACAGGACAGATGGATAGAGAGATGGACAAATGGACAGGACAGATGGACAGATGGATGGACAGATGATGGACAGATGGACAGATGGAAAAATAGACCGATGGGCAGATGATGGACAGATGATGGACTGATGATGGACAGATGGACAGATGGACAGTTGATGGACAGATGGACAGTTGATGGACAAATGGACAGGACAGATGGACACATGGATGGACAGATGATGGACAGATGATGGACAGATGGACAGATGGACAGAATAGATGGACAGGACAGATGGACAGATGGACAGGACAGATGGACAGATGGACAGGTGGACAGAATAGATGGACAGGACAGATGGACAGATGGACAGGTGGATAGATGATGGGCAGACGATGGACAGATGGGCAGATGATGGACAGATGGACACAGGGACAGATGATGGACAGATGGACACATGGACAGATGGACAGATGGGCAGTTGATGGCCAACTGGACAGATGATGGACAGAGGGACACATGGACAGATGGACAGCTGATGGACAGATGGACACATGGCCAGCTGGACAGATGGCCAGCTGATGGACAGATGGACAGATGATGGACAGATGAACAGATGAACAGATGGACAGCTGATGGACAGATGGACACATGGCCAGCTGGACAGATGAACAGCTGATGGACAGGACTGATGGACACATGGACAGCTGGACAGATGGACAGCTGATGGACAGATGGACACATGGACACATGGACAGATGGACACATGGACAGATGGACAGATGGACACATGGCCAGCTGGCCAGCTGTACCCTCGGGGTCGAGCAGCTTGCTGAGCCCCAGGTGCTGCTCGGCCGTGTTGAAGGCCACCTGCAGGTTGTGGGTGGCGTTGGACTTGGTCAGCTTGGCGAAGTCCACGAGGTCCGGCCTGGGAAGGGGTCACAGAGGTCACCTTGACCCCCTCCCCCAACCCCCACCACCTTCCCTTGTCCAGCGAGGTCCCACCAGGCCTTTGGGGTCAATCAGGAACCCCAGGAGGTCCCACCACCCACTCAAAGAGGTCCCACCACCCACAGGGAGGTCCCACCAGGCCTTTGGGGTCAATCAGGAACCCCAGGAGGTCCCACCACCCACAAGGAGGTCTCTCCACCCCTCCCTGGTCAAGGAGGAGCTCAAGGAGGTCCCACCACCCACAGGGAGGTCCCATCAGCCCTCCCTGGTCACTGAGGAACCCCAGAAGGTCCCCCCACCCTTTCCTGGTCACTGAGGAGCTCGAGGAGGTCCCACCACCCACAGGGAGGTCCCACCACCCACGAGAAGGTCCATCCGCCCCTCCCAGGTCAAGGAGGTCCCGCCACCCTTCCCTGGTCACTGAGGAACCCCAGGAGGTCCCACCAGCCCTCCCTGGTCACTGAGGAACCCCAGGAGGTCCCACCAGCCCTCCCTGGTCACTCAGGGACCCCAGGAGGTCCCACCAGCCCTCCCTGGTCACTCAGGGACCCCAGAAGGTCCCCCCAGCCCTCCCTGGCCCAGGATCAGGTGGTGACCCCCTCAGTTGTCCCCCTCCCCCCCACCTGTGCCGGTGGATGAGGGCATTGAAGGCCAGGCCGTCCCTCCAGCTGGTGGTGAAGTTCTGGATGTTCACCTCGGGGTACCTGGGGGGGACAGGGGGGGTCAGGGGGGTCCATCTTACCCTTGAGGGGTCCATCCCACCCCAGAAGGTCCATCCCACCCCAGGGGGTCCATCCCACCCCCCGGGGATGGTGATGATGATGATAATGATG